ATTCTGCGAGATGAGGTCAGAAGTGAGAGGTAGGCGAATCGGTGACCGGATCGATAGGTCCATGAGGGTGGGGTACCAGCACTGATGAGGCCAAGCTGTGGCCACCAGGATGATGTCCACCTTGTCCCTTCAGACCTTGAGAAGCACCTTGTGGATGAGAGGAAGTGGTGATAAGGCGTAGTGGTTGACCAGACCATGGGATCAGGAAGGTGTCCACTATCGAGCCCGGGCTGTGAGCCCGGAAAGAGCAAAAGGTTGGGACTTCCTGTTGGCCCACGTGGCGAACAGGTCAATTCGGGGAAACTCCCAGCTGCGGAAGATGGAATGGATGACGTCCGGCCGAATCAAACATTCGTGTGTGACGAACTGCCTCCTCAAGCTGTCCGCCAGTACGTTCTGAACACCCGGCAGGTATGAGGCTTAGAGAAGGATGGAGTGGGCTAAACAAAATTCCCATAGGAGGAGAGCTTCCTGGCAGAGAGGAGATGACCGGGCTCCGCCTTGCTTGTTTATGTAAAACATGGCCGTGGTATTGTCCATCAGTACCGCTACACAGTGGCCCTGCAAGTGGGACAGGAACACCTGGCATGCGAGGCAGATTGCCCTGAGCTCTGATGTTGATATGCAGAGCCAGTTCCTCTACTTGCCATAGGCCCTGAGTCGTCATGCTCCCAAGATGTGCTCCCCAGCCGAGCACCAACACATCCATTACCAATGTCAGAGTGGGCTGGGAGGCAGGGGGGTGGAACGGTACCCCGGTGCTTACCATGCGGGGGTCCAGCCACCATGTAGGGAATCGAAGGTATGTCTCGGAACGGTAAGCACCATGTCCAGACTGTCACGATCCGGATGATACACAGGTGCAAGCCATGCCTGCAGGGGCCTGAGCTGCAACCTGGCATGCCGTGGCACGTAGGTGCAGGACGCCATGTGGCCCAGCAGCTTGAGGCACTGTCTCACAATGGCGGTGGGAAAATTGCAAAGGCTAGTGATTACATGTGCAAGGGCTAGACGATGGGCCTCTGGGAGGACTCTCTCGCCTGATTTGCATCCAGGACTCCCCCAGTGAACTCTATTGTTTGTGTTGGGGTGAGAACAGACTTGTTGACGTTCAGAATAATGCCTAAGCAGTCGAACGTGAACTGATAAAGCGTCCTGTCTACTACAAAATGGAGAAAACGTCTGTGAAACGGGTTGATTGAAACATGAAAATTAGCGTCCTTCATGTCGAGGGCGGCGTACCAGTCTCCCAAATCCAGGGAGGGGATGATTGTGCTCAAGGAGACCATGCGGAACTTTGGGTTGACGACGTGCTTGTTGAGTTCCCTTAGGTCCAGAATGGGCTGTAGAACCCCTTTGCCTTGGGAATGAGGAAGCAGCGTGAGTAGAAACCCTTGCCTCTGAGCTCCCGAGGTACCTCCTCCACTGCTCCTAGAGGGAGGACGGACTGGACCTCCTGGACCAGGAGTTGCTCGTGAGAGGGGTCCCTGAAGAGGGATGGGCAGGGGGGTGGGAGGGCGGGAAGGAGCAGAAGTGGATAGAATAGCCAGCCTCTACCGTGCGGAGGACCCACTGGTCCGATTTAATAAGGGACCACGCATGGTAGAAGCGGGATAGACTGTTCAGGGAGGGAGGATAACTGGCTGGGATATGGACTGGTAATCCATCCTCGTGTGCATCTTCAAGATGGACGCTTAGGGCCCAGAGGGGGCTTGGACTGTCCCTGGCCCTGACCAGAGGGAGGACGCGATGGTCTGCACCTGATGTATGTCCTCCTCCTGCGGGAGAAGTCCTGCCTGGGCCTAGCAGGGAAAGACAGCTGCTGGGTGGGCTGGGGCTTAAACGGCTTTCTTTGAGTCGCCGCGGTATGCATGCCTAGAGACTTAATTAATTGTGTTCCTTGAATCTTTCAGGCTATGCCACCTAGAGTTGGTCTGTTCAGCGAAGAGCCCCTGACCGTCAAACGGAAGGTCTTGGATAGTTTGCTGAACTTCCAGCGGGAGACCTGAGGACTGAAGCCAGGCGTTACGCCGCATGGCGATACCAGATGCCAGTGTACGTGCCGCCACGTCCGCAGCATCCAGGGAGACTTGAAGAGCAGTTCGGGCCACTAGTCTGCCCTCCTCAGCAATGGCTCCCAGCTCCTGCCGAGAATCGGATAGGAGGAGCTCCTTGAACTTTTGAATAGCAGACTAGGAATTATAGCTGTATCTGCTAAGGATCATGAGCTGATTAGCAATCCGTAGGGAGAGGCCACTGGTAGAATAAACCTTTCTCCCAAAGAGATCCAGACATTTCACATCCCTTGATTTAGGGGCAGGCCCCTGCTGACCCAGTCTTTCTTTTTCGTTTACCGCATCCACCACCAGGGAGCATGGGGGGGGAGGGAAATGGATAAAGAGGTATCCGTACCCCTTAGTGAGGACAAAGTACTTTCTTTAGGCCCCTTTGGCTGTGCGGGGAATGGAGGCCGGAGTTTGCCAGATTATAAAGTCAGTTCAGTCAAATGCCAAAACAAAGGGCAGTTGCACCCTAGAGGGCCCTTCTGGTGTCAGAACGTCCACCATGGGATCCTCTTCTTCTACGACCTCTTCCACCTGGAGATTCATGTTTAAGGCCACTCGCCATAGGAGTTCCTGCAGGGCCCGGTAGTCCATGGGTTGGGGGCCAGATGCGGATGTACCCACCACCGCCTCATCAGGAGAAGACGAGGAGGAGGTGACCAGCAGAATTGGGTCCAAGACAGCCCCTTGGTCACTGGTTCTGGTTCCTCCTGAGCACGAGGTGTAGCCTCCACTGGGGGTGGGGCCGGATCCAGGGTTTGTGTGGGGTGCGGAGGATGACAACTGATGGGAATACAAGACCCAGAATGAGATGGCGGAGGGATGCCTGGAGGGTGCCCTGGGCTTGGTGGTACGCCCAGGGAGTCCAGAACTGCCACTAGGGTTGCCAGTGGGGCACTGAAGAGTCCCGTCCGAGACTGCCCGGACCTGATTGGGGTGCCTCCGATGCTCCCGATGCCCTACCTGACCTGGGGGAGGGTGACTGGGAGCGGGACGGCCAAGGAGGGGCGGTACGCTGGGCTGGGGGGGTTCTGCGTCCCCTGACGGGCGGAATGGGTACCGTGCGGAGTGGCGAGATCCAGACGGTTATTTGCGGTGCCATTGTGGAGAGAAGTACCGGGAGATCGATTGGCTCCGAGATGTTGGACTTCGCCTCAGTGGAGAGCGGCCACAGGAGTGTGACCAATGCCGTGCCAGGGAATGGTGCCGTGCCAGAGAGCGGTGCCACGATGGAGAGTGGTTTCGCGGACAGCGTCGCGGAGCGGTGCCACGGGGTCTCAGACTTTGACCTAGACCTCGAGCAGGACCACAACCTGTCAGCCGATGACCACCTCGAGCGGGGGCGGCTCCGAGGATCAGGGCTGCGAGACCAGTGCCGCGAGTCAGACCAGCACGGAGCACCAATCCCATCATTCCATGGGCATCCTACTACATTGCCAGCTGCTTTTCAACTGAAGTGGGGGGGAGGGAAGAGTGCGTGTGTGTATGGAGGTGGGGAGACAGACAGTGTGTTTTGTGGGACAGACAGTGCATCAGCATGCTGTCTTGTAAGTTCAGACAGCAGTAGGAAGCAACCAGTCCTGAAGCAGGGGGAGAGGGAAACCCCAACATCAACCCCTGCCTCCATCCCTGGGCTCTCTCTCTCTCACACACACGCCTCTGTGTTCAGCAGCACAAGCATTCCACATGAATGGTTTGCTCTGTGTCCCGGGGCTGGTCAGCACAGCACGCAAGGGCTGTCAGAAACGGAGCTTTGAAAGCGGCAGGGTGCATGCCTCCAGGGCAGCCGAGTTCAAAACAATGAGCAGAGCGGCCGCTTGAGGCATCATGGGACCGCTCCGGAGGCCAATTACAGGGCAGCCAGCGCTCAAGTGTCCACACTGGCAGTAGAGCCCCGGAGCCTCTGCACTTGAAAGCTTGACTGTCATCGAGGTGGGTTTTCTGCAGCGCGGCACCCGAGGAGTTTCGGTGAGCAAAGTAGCTTGGCAGCATGTACATGTCTGCAGTTTGAGCGCAAAAAGCAGCTTTGCTTCACAGAAACTTGCCAGTGTAGACAAGCCCTAAGTGTAAAACCCACCTCTTTGGCCAAGCCTCCCAGCAATAGCTCAAACACACTCCAGACACCATCCATTTTACTCTATTTTAAAATAAATCAGCATCTTCAGGCCTATTCCCTACTGGCAGAAAGGAGAGCGAGAGAGAGAGAGAGACAGACCGACCAACATAATTGTCGCTACACTTATTCCTGGAAGTTACTCAGTGATAGGCAGCAGAGTAAGAACATAAGATTGGCCCTACTGGGTCAGACCAAAGGTCCATCTAGCCCAGTATCCTGTCTTCCAGTGCCAGGTGCCCCAGAGGGAACGAACAGACCAGGTCATCATCAAGTGATCCATGCCCTGTGGTTCATTCTCAGCTTCTAGCAAACAGAAATACGTTCAGAAAAGTATGCAAGATATTTCTCTCAAGCAGTGATGGGAAAATAGGCTCCAATATGTAATGCCTTGAAGTGGAGTCCCTGGAAACTGAAACAAGTTGCAAGGCAGTGTGGAATACAATCTGTGAACCTAACACAGCGCCCTGCTGCCTCTTGTTCAGAAGCACTGTTTGGAAGGACAACATGTAATATTACGCTACATCAGTTCGCTCACAGCTACATTGTAATGACCACATCATCTTCCGTAGTGCAGGGGATAAACACTGCCCTGGTCACACTGGACAATGCATGGTGTGATCAGCTTCCCATGGAAGCGTGGTGCTCAGACACTATGGTGATAGGCACTAGTACTAAACCCTAAGCTTGATAGTTTGAAAACAAGACCCTGTGGGTAGCTGAGGCAGGCTGGCAGTTCTTTCGCTGGTCACCAGGTCTCTGGCCAGGACACCCTGCTTTGTTATATCAGAAAGGTCTGGAGACAATAGCACCAAGACACTCACCCTACTGTCTCATCCCAGTCACACCACAGCTTCTGCCCTATCACCTCCATGTCAAATTTAAACCGGTTTAGGCAGTAATCCTGGATCAGCTGGCCATAGTCTGCGTCATGGCACGCGGTGACCACGATAAAGTGATGGGCTGAAAGAGAGAAAAGGAACAAGGTTGGGTTGGCTTTAATGGTCTGATTTATTGGCACTGAAAATATTGTCATCAAAATCTTTCCTTCTCCCCACTCCCCAATTACAGCACCCCGGCCCAGATCCTCAAAGGTGTTTAGGTACCTAACTCCCTGGCCTTTTCTCCCTTCTCTGGGGTACAAACCACCCCCTGCTTGGCAGTAAGGCCAGGTAGGTCCTGCACTTCCTCAGAGTTTGCCTGCCAACTCCCTTCATTCTTCTGCCAATAGCAATTATAATTCCACTGACATAAGCCAGCTGACTAATATGTCAGGAAGCCTCCCTTCTGCTCTGCGTCCATGTAACTGGAGTATCATTAGCATCCCTGTTCTCAGTAGAATCCTTCCATACCAGATCCCCTGCACAATGCTGCAGCCTCAGAAATGGCCTGTCCAACCTCCCACGCAATCCTCATTAGAAAAGAATGGCAAATACTGCTCTGCCAAGGACTGTACTCGACTCTCCTCTCCAAACATGACAGTTCCAGACGAGGAGCCAGTATCTGGATGACAGGATTCCACTTTTTGTGCATGTTAATGAATTATTGTCCATTAGGAGCTCTCGAGCTGGACACACAAGCTTAGCAGCCATGTGGTCCCCACATGGGAGCCTAGATATAGAAACAGCTCCCAAGGCCTAGGAAGAATATGGGAAGAACATAGAAATTGACATAGAAAAAGACCAGTACATTTTATCTAGTCCAAAAGGCTTTTTGTAGCCCTGGGCTATTCAAAGAAAGTTATAAATATCTCCCATGAAGCATCCGATAGTGCAATCTTATACCGCAGTGGTTAAGTTTCTTCCTGAGTCCATCCTGGGATGAATTTATGCACTGACATATGAGGATTGATAGCCCTTGCCATTTTTATCCTATCTACTTTATAATAGCAGCAGATGCTAGAATAATTCATACCAGTATGTCTCATCTTGTTTAGAACCTTACCACGCTGTTTGCCTCCAGAGCAGCACGCAGTAGGGAGTTCCATAAATCAAGTTCTATAAATCACTCGGATTCTGCATAAGAGTAGTTTTCAGTTCCTTGAATCAATGTGAACATGTTGCTTTTCCATGACATTTATGGTTGGGGAGCCGTGTTCAGTATTTGGATGGCAACCCCCGGCTCATGGTGTGTGGTAGGAGCCAGAGAGGCTTGGTTCCAGTTTCCAAAACAGGTCACCCTTTGTTAGTCAGCACATGATGGGAGGGTAAGTTGAACGTGGTGTGCCGACGCACTCAGGGGCCTGGCCTACACTACAGAAAGTTGCCACATTTGAACACGATTGCGAACGACTGAATGAAATGAGACGATTCAAATCATGACTTACGGTCAGTGCAGATCAGGCCAGTTACGACCACGTCAGCTAACTGAGAGTAAACTCACCAGGGTTAAGGTTTGCAAATATCAGCTCTGATCATGCCCTCCTATACTTGATTGCAAAGTCCAGAACAAAGGCTTTCTTTCCAGGACAAATGAGCACTGACCACCTGAAACCCAGCACTAGAATGACTCAGACCAAACCAGCAACCCTACAGCAAGACACCACAGTCTACAGCAGCCAAGGGTTTTATTTATGAACATCGGTAACAAGACCCGATCTTTTTTATATTATTCAAAAGACCTGGACCAAATTCTTAAGTACGTACAGTTTTAGGAACAGTTTCAGCAAAAGCTTAAGCTTAAGGGGAGAGTGTTGTCCTTAATGGAATGCTGACGTCCAGTTCTTCAGTACGTGGTGGAGAACACATGTGCTATCAATGAAATCAAACTCGGCTAAGTCAGATGAAACCAGGCTTGGTAAAGTCGCCATGAGAATCACAATGGGAACCTTAACATGAAGGATACAACTCCTGCCATGGATTAGATGGAAGCTGTATTCACCTAATTTGACTGGGACACTAGAATTTCCAAATGGGTCTGCTTTATTATATCTTAGGCCTTCTCTACATTGGAGATTTGCCCCAGTTACAGCCATTGGTGACCAAAGTCTGGTCCTTCCCTTGTTTTGCTGAAGACCTCAGAGAGGTTTGTGATTCAGGTTTAAAACCACTGATTTAGTTTATTATTAAAAATAATGTCTTCTATAGAAATCATAAATAACCAAGGACAAAGTGGGGAGAGAGAGAAATAGGATCTAATCCTGTAGCTCTCACTCAGGCAATAGGTCAGGACCCTTAACCATCATCAATAAAGTTTCATACTTCAGTGAGATGAATGGGTTGAAGGAGAGGGCAAAGGTCATACCTCCCGAGGTGGGTGGATAAGCACATTGGGAGTTCCTGACTTTGCTTCTGCTGCTGTCTGGCCTGGAAGAGGGGCCGTAGCATGTCTCCGAATACTGGTGCTGGTATTTTTCCAATAGAAAAAAGGACGGAAATGAAGCATGTGGTTAAAAATGCAAATTTAGCAAGGGCAGAGTATGTTGCAAAAATTGCAGAGTGAGACCTGAAAATTGCAAGACCGATGTACAATTGTGTCCTGTCCCCGACATTAAAAAAATCCTTTTTTGGGGGGGGGGTGGAGGGGTGAGAGGGGATGCTGCTTGGTGCAAGCTGAACTGATAGAAGCCAGGCTTAAACGGATTCAAGAGATTGTCCACACACACAGCTGCACTGCTGTAACTAAATCAGTATAAAAAGGATCCCTTTAATTAAACCACTATAACAGTGCATGGACCAGGCCTGGGAGGTTGGGATGAGAAAATGTGTAGTAATGTTAGACAGGGCAGAGAGCTCGGACTCTATGAAAAAAATTAATACAGGCCATCTGAGCATGACGCTGGCAGACCAGATGCCAGCTCCTGCCAACTAGGCCCCTAGGCCTCACTGACCACTGACAGATGCATAGCTGGAAACCAGTCTGGCTCACCTGTGGGTTAGTATAGTTAAAATAGGTATTTATTAGGTTTATAAAAATGTGTTTAGACATTATGAAATGCTTTTGAGTTGCTGCATGCATTAATGTTGCTTATAATTAGGGCCCTACCAAATTCACTGGCCATTTTGGTCAATTTCACAGTCATAGGATTTAAAAAAAAATTTAATTTAATTATTTCAGCTATTTAAATGTGAAATTTCATAATGTTGTAATTGTTGGGGTCCTGACCCAAAAAGGAGTTGGGGGGGGTCAAAAGGTTATTGTAGGGGGGTTGTGGTACTGCGACCCTTACATCCCAGTTGGGAGCCACTCCAGACAGCTTGACACTGAGCATGCTCAGAAATGATTTACTAATTGATAACAAATTTCCTTCTCTCAAAACCACCCGTCTTGATCTGAGCTGTGGAAGAGCTTGTGGACTGCTGTGTCTAACTGTTCCAACAGTACTCCAGCCCAGATGGCACAGGCATGTGAAATCAGCCCACAGATATCTGTTATTCAGTGGCAGATAGTTAGCATAAATCGATGCAGCTCTGTGGAGGGTAGTATCATACAGAAGGAAAGATGCAGAGTATTGTGATACAGTGCACACAGGGACTGAGGATGCAGCCAGAGGTGCTGGGTGATCAAAGAGGAAGAAGGCTGTAGAGAGACATAATTGGGGAAAGGGAAAGGCTGGGAGCTCAGGTATGAGGAAATCAGGATTAACACTACAAAAGAAGAATAAAATGCAGTCACAGGTAAGCCAGGTCAGCATAGCTTTAGACAGGACAGGAGGGATAGCTCAGTGGTTTGAGCATTGGCCTGCTGAACCCAGGGTTGTGAGTTCAATCCTTGAGGGGGCCATTTAGGGATCTGGGGCAAAAATTGGGGATTGGTCCTGCTTTGAGCAGGGGGTTGGACTAGATGACCTCCTAAGGTCCCGTCCAACCCTGATATTCTCTGATCTGTTGCTGACCTTTTTAAATCTTCACTGGGGTGCTGTGGCTTCTCCAAGAGAGACATTCTGCTGAGATCTCCATGCCTCAGCCTGAACGGAGAGAGGCACATCATGAGCAAACTGCTCTGAGGAAGCTCGTAGTAGGAAGGTGATATGGAAGGGGGGGGTTCAGCTGTTGTGACCTGCACTGGATGTGCCATGTTTGTCTTTCTTCCACAGGACAGAAGCGACTTTGTCTGTACAAAGTGCAAGCTGGTCTCCATATTGGAAGAGAAGATTGAAGGTCTGGAGCAACAGATAACAACCCTGCGTTGCATACGAGAAACTGAGGATTTTCTGGACAAAACTCAGGATAGGCTTCTAGGGGCACAAAGCTCTAAAGATATAGAGCAGGTTGCACAGAGGAGCCAAGAGGCCAGTGAAGAAGCTTGGCAACATGTGACCTCCAGAAGAGGTAAGCGGAATGTCCGGGTTCCAGTAACACAGACACAGGTAACTAACCGCTTTCATGTTCTCTCCACAGGTACCGTTGCGGAGAGTGGACCAGATGATATGTCTGGGGCGAGAAAGCAGAAGGAGACTCCGCTGGTTGGAAGGCATGAGATGCTATGTCCTGAGGTTGGGGGTTCCACGACCACCACTCCCAAGAGGAGAAGGCGGGTGGTGGTGGTCGGGGACTCTCTCCTCCGGGGGACTGAGTCATCTATCTGCCGCCCTGACCGGGAAAACCGAGAAGTCTGCTGCTTGCCAGGGGCTAAGATTCGCGATGTGACGGAGAGACTGCCGAGACTCATCAAGCCCTCGGATCGCTACCCCTTCCTGCTTCTCCACGTGGGCACCAATGATACTGCCAAGAATGACCTTGAGCGGATCACTGCGGACTATGTGGCTCTAGGAAGAAGGATAAAGGAGTTGGAGGCGCAAGTGGTGTTCTCGTCCATCCTCCCCATGGAAGGAAAAGGCCTAGGTAGGGACCGTCGAATCGTGGAAGTCAACGAATGGCTACGCAGGTGGTGTCGGAGAGAAGGCTTTGGATTCTTTGACCATGGGATGGTGTTCCATGAAGGAGGAGTGCTGGGCAGAGAGGGAAGAGCATCTTTGCCAGCAGGCTGGCTAACCTAGTGAGGAGGGCTTTAAACTAGGTTCA